TCAGCTGTCACTCTCTGGGTAGCTGTGTGCATCTCTCCCATAGGTTGCTCTTCCTTTAATGAAAAATCTACACCATCTCCCCATCTTAACCTGAAACTGTCTCCGTATTTGCAGTCATTGTGCATATTGAGCCATTTGGCGGCCCTTCCATTCCGAAGCCTTGGTGGAGCTGATTGGCTTTCTGAGCCCGGGGGAAAGAATGTGGGTTCTCTCCTGAGTCACTGTGGCTGCTGGCCTGGGTGGTTGGCTGAGGGGGTACCAACCCTAGGGCAAAATCATAGGGAATACTTTCAAGGCTTAGTTTCAATGATTACGTTTTTGTTTTTGTTTTAGGGTTTTTGCCATAAGGCACGTGCGCTCACTGTAGAGAAACAGAGAGAGGGAAAGTGAAAAACATCACCTCCCCCAGGGGGCATGGCCACACCACAATTCCTTTTCTTCCACTCTCCTCCTGGGGTTTTGGGCACACACACACACACACGTGCCTGGTGTGAGTTTCAAGCTGCCAAGTCCAGGACTCGAACAGCACTGGCCCATGTGGGAGTCCAGCACCTTAACCACCACGTCACCCGATGGCCCCACGATGAAGTTTTTGAAGTCTTCTTCCATTACCACAAACTAGACTCCATGGAAGTGAGAAGGATTCCTGATGAAACAGTGTGGCATGCCAAGTAGTGCTGCAGGGCGTAGGTGGTCCGAACCCAGGAGAGTAGGAAGGCACTCCTCCTAGCACGCGGGTGGAAGGCACGCCCAGCTGGCATTTGCTTCGCAGCCTGAGGAGGGAGGGAAACGTTTGTCTTGTTACCACTTTATTACGCACTCCTCTAAAGCTGTGATCATTTTGAAAAAAATAACACGGGTAGAAGCTGGCCGTCAGTGGTTTGGGGCCTGAGTGTACAGAAAAAGTGCGCTTTTTCTTTCTCTTGCTGTGAGGATAACCTCGAGTGTGGTGCTTTGTGGATTCCGGGAACAAGTATGCTCCGAATTACCGTTACTTTTCTCTCTTCCTTCAAGGGAGCGTCAGGCGCCTCGTGCCCCTCTCAGCCCTCGGTGGGCAGGGGCACGTGTGAGAAGTCACATGTATAATCCTAAACTCTTTCTCCTATTTCCGATTAGCATCTATGGGTCTTGCAGATATGATGTCTCCCAGTGAATCCAAACTGCCCATGCCTCTCAAAGCAGATGGCAAAGAAGAAGGCACGCCGCAGCCCGAGAGCAAGTCCAAGGTACTGCCCCCTCTGCATGAGCGCAGGGCGGCCTCGTGGGTGGCTGCGTGTCACGGCTTCACTGGCGTCGGCCTCCGCGTGTCTGCGTTGGGTCTCTGCTCTCTGCATGCTTCATTGCGCCAACCCGTCTGTAGTCTTCCTTTCTTCCCCACCCCCTTCATGGCGTGGATCTGAAAGTTACTAGTTCTTACGGCATTAACTCACGGTCGGGGAGGGGGTGGCGGGACGAGACCCACCCGAGACGGGCGCTTTGGGGGCGGGCGACGCGAGGGAGCTTGCCTGGGTTTGATCCTCGCAGCCATCTCTGCCTGCAGTTTATAGCTTCCTGTTTTGGCCACCCCAGCAACAACATACTTAATATTTAGCTTTCCTGCCTTATTTGATAAATAAGGTGAACAGCTTTCTGTTTTGGGGTTTTTTCCTTTCTTTCTTTCATAAGGGGTAACCCACGCTCCGCATTCATGTGAGCTTGACGTGAAAAGCATGATGACTTCGTGGCCTTATCTAGCATCCAGCCAACTTACACGTTGTACTAATTAAGAATGTTGTTTTACTACCTTTGTACATGTGTGTTTGTGTGTTTGTACGTGTCTATACATATATATGTATATGTGTGTATATATATACATATATATTACATATATATAAAATAGTCTGTTAAACTGGATGTGCTTTTTGTTATTTTAAATAAAGTTTGCCCTACCTTTGTCATTTTTTTTTTTTTATTCCTCTACCACAGGATAGCTACAGCTCTCAGGGTATTTCTCAGCCCCCAACCCCAGGCAACCTGCCAGTCCCTTCCCCAATGTCCCCCAGCTCTGCTAGCATCTCCTCCTTTCATGGAGATGAGAGCGATAGCATTAGCAGCCCAGGCTGGCCAAAGACTCCATCAAGCCCTGTAAGTGGCTCTGTTTTTTTTTGTTTTTTTCGTTTTTTGTTTTTTTGGGGTTTTTTGATAATGAATTAATTCTACTTTAATGCTTGCTTGTTTATTTGGTTTATAAGACTTTTTCTTTATTATTTATTCATGAAAGGGTTTTCTTTGTAAATAATTATATTAATAACAAAATAAGTAAAGTTTGTGTGTATCATGGACATTGATTTCTGGGAATGAAACAACTATTATAAAGAAGCACCTCTGTTTAAAGCATGCGATTGTGTTACGGGGTCCAAACTCCTCCTGTGGGGACTTTATAAAAATGTCAGCTCCATGGTGTGCTTGGGGATTTTTAAAACGAGTTACTTGTTCATTTACTTGGAAACTAGGAGCAGCTGTGAAATGATAAAGTCGGCCCCCGTCCTAAGTGTTTCATGAGCTATTTTAATCTGGAACATCTTACTTTGAAATGGCCTATCTGAAAAAAAGTAAATACTAAAATTTGGGTACAATTTAATATAACATCAATCTTGTTTTCAGTTCATGTGTTTGAAATTAATAAGAAGTTGTAGGCATGTGAACGTGTAGATTGGGAAACGTATGCCTATATTAGAATTGGTTAGATTAGAATTTGATCTGCACAAGACAGCTGGTAATATTGATATTAATTGTTGTGATTTCTTTGTGTGGTATATAAATAACAAATATGTTAATGTACATATCAGAGCATTTTTTTAGCTTTAACGTTCTTTTGACTATAAAGTTGAGCCTTGATTTTCCTACAAAAGAAATTTTATGCCATTGAAAAAAAAGTAATTTATTTTACATTCCCACAAGGTATCTAAGATCTTTTAAAACACACACACACACACACACACACACACACACACAGAGAAACAAGAAACTTTCACATGCCGCTATTTGCCAAGAAGATTGACTTCCCAAGCTAGATTCTGTGAGGTGATGCATTGGAGACTTTATAAGATCTGTAGATAAAGATCTTGTATGATAAGATATACAAAATAATATAAGATCTTTATCAGATCTGCTCAGGGAACTAGGGCGGGGGCAGAAGATCCAACCTGAGTATACACAATCTAGCAATCGAGTCAGACCCGAAAGGAGGCTGCTCCAAGTTGTCCACTCACTGGATTAAACAGAGCGTTGAAGGTTAGAAGGTGGAGGCCCTGCAAAATTCACATGGGGCTCCAGCAAAACTAGCATTTTCCTTTTCAGAAGAAAAAAAGTGCACCATTTGCTCTTACCTTCTCTGGAATATTCCGCCTTTGCCACAACCAAAATGAAGCAAAAAATGCTCCTAGGAGGAGTGACGCAGAATCACAGGGAGGGGGAGAGCGCAGCTCCTCATTTCCAACCCTCATGTTATCTGCTGTTTGCTTTGAATCTCAGAAGGCAGCCAAATTTGTGCATCTTTTCCTGTAGTTTACCTTGGTTTTTTGTTTTACTTTTTTCTTTTCTTCTGATAGGCAAAGTCATTTTTGAATAAGTAATGTTCTGGGGTTAACAGGTAACATTCAAGTAACTTTTCAAAAGTATTGGTATATGGGCACAGGAGAATTTCACAAGTTGAAAATAATAGTGTGTGAAACTTGAGATAATTAAGAATACTAATTGGTAAAAACAAAGACCGTGGTATTTCAAAGTGCCCCTCTTGCTGATCCCTGAATCCTAGAGAATGATTAGGATAGCTCCTCTGTATTGACTTTTAATCAAGCTATCTCTACCCAGTGAGTCCAATTCCTATTAAAATCCTCCTTTCTTCTAGAATGTAAGAGAAAACAAGCTGAGCTCTAACTTCACAAGCCGACTTCAGCTCCGTGTAGAGGGCAAGTCCACAGTTGTGGGAAGAGTTAGACAATTGTTCTGCACTGAGAAAGCGGGCAGGTTTTTAATGAGATGCTAACTCGAGGGGACAGAAGGAAAGCGGCACTATCAGATCACTGAGGATATGGGCCATCCAGGCATAGCTCGCTGCTCTTTCCAAGATGCCACCTCAATTCTGACTTAAAATCGCTCTTCGCAGTGTCCCTGATAAAGCCCGACCAACAGCAGACTTGAAGCAGATGAAGTAATCATGCCCTATGCTTTGACAGTGTACCACAAGCCAACATCGTTTTGTTATAAAACATTTTAAAACGCAAATAAACATTTGTCCATACACATGCACAGACACATACTACCAGGCATATGGTAAAGACGGCGGGAATGTAAATCTGCCTAAACGACTGGAAGAAAACATACTTCTAGGCTTAATTAAAGTATACGCAGGGAAAGCATTTGTGGCCCCGTAATAACGCTCTGCTGTAAGTTTTCAGCCATTTCCATCCCTTGCTCTTGGCTGCACAAAAGTTTTGCAGCAGTAGGGTACAGTGCTACGACACTGAAGCAGTGCTGGGTGGTCCTCAGTGAGCTGCCCATTGTCACTGGGTGCAGTGTGGAGGGAAGACGTCCACCTGGAGGTCAGTGATGAGCGTGGTGTCACGTGTGCTTGTCACTGAGCCGTTCCTGTCCTTTTCTCTGTTCAGACACCCAAATACTAACTCTAGTAATGATTAGGTTCCAAAGCAGACCTAGAGGCTGGAGCTGGAGGTGCAAAGTGCTAGCAGTGGGCAGTCCCCTTCCCAGCCTTCAGCCTTACTGGCCCTGTCCATGTTCGTTTTGCACCTTGCTCATTGAGATCGGTTTATAAGACTATTTTCATCAGCCGTTAATCCTTCCTGAATGCTGCCAGACTTTTCTCACCTATTCCGTCCCCTTGGGTAGAGCAGGTACCTGCAGGACCTCCCACGTGCAGGGCACTGCGCTGACCGTCAGTTCAGTCTTAGCCCAGTCCCTACTGGTGGGACCGGCAGCCCAGGTGAAGAGTGGGTGGCAGACAGATAATCACGTGCAGAACACACAGGTCTTCGCGCAGCGTGATGAAGAGCTGCACAGGGCGGATAAAGTGTGCAGTCGTGGCTTAAAACTAAGGCCCCGATTTAGGGCAGCAAGGGGCAGGCTCTTCAAAGATCCGTCACACAGACTGAGGCCCGACCACTGCTGCACGCAGGTGTCACTTCCTGCATTATGGTGCCATAAAATGCTTTCCGGAAGATGTAAAGATGATGAAAAGTGAAACTATTCTATTAAAATCTATTTTATCTTCACTAATTTTTTCCTTATTTTATGAGAACAAATTGAGATAAGTACAAGTTAATTAAACTTAAGTTCATTTAACAAAGAAAAGTTAAAACAAGGACCAGCAATTGGCGTAATGACTATGTCGCTGGACTCCCATGTAATCGACTGCAGTTTGAGTCCCGGACCCAGTGGCTTAAACTCACACCGGCATGTGTGCATGCCCAAGGTCCCTAGAGGAGAATGGAGAAGGGATTGCGGCGTGGCCACACACCCCCTCCCCCCCCGGGGGTGATTTCTTACTTTCTGTCTCTGTCTCTCTCTGTCTTTCTGGTGAGCACACGCACCCTATAGCAAAAACCTCTACGAAAAGAAAAAAGTTAAAACATATATGATCAAATTAAGTAACATGTCCTAGACCTATTTCAGCTTTGAGAATCCGATCCTTTCACGAGTGGGAGTAACTTGTCTGTACCACTGCCTGGTTCAAGGCTGACCAGTCCAGAGCCCTTCCCTACCCTCAGCTCAGGAGGATCAGGCCCTGGATGTTAGGGACATCTGCACTCAGGAGGTTGGAAGACCAGTTCTAGTTTTGTTTTTTGTTTTTTGTTTTTTTTTTTTAAGAGCTATTTATTTAATTTTATTATTATTATTTAAGTCGCTACAGGGCACATGCATTCACCAGAGAGAGAGAGATAAAGGGAAAGTGAGAACGCAAGCTGCCTGGTCCAGGACTCAAATTGCAATCGGCCCTGTCTGAGTCCAGCACCTTAACCACCATGCCACCTGCCAGCCCCTTTGTTGTCATTTTCAAACCACCATGCAACCTGCTGCCCCAGCTCAGAGTGTTCTAAGTGGAGATGTTTTTC